GGCGGCACCCCTCCAACTCCAACAACAGCTCGCGGCGGCGGCACCCCTCCAACTCCAACAACAGCAGGTCGCAGCGGGGCCGCACCAGCTTCCGGCGGATAATGACCCCCACGATGGTAAGTTCAAAAATAGTTCCCTGTCCTAACCCGAGCCGAAAGTCACTTCAGTACGTAGCGCACGGGCTACTTCGTGGTATTTCTCCTACCATTTCGGTTATTTCTCCTGCCATTTCGGCTATTTCCCGCCTATTTCGGATTATTTCAGGCTATTTCGCGCTATTTCGGAGTATTTCAGGGGTATTTCGCGACTATTTCGCGTCTATTTCGTCTTTATTTCGCTCTATGTCGCCTTCATTTCGGACTATTTCGGGGGAAGGTGTACGAACTATTTCGCAAGTGATTTCCCCCTCGATCTTCCACGTCAGCAAGATTTAGTTCTCTGTAAAATTCCGAATTCCCATAACACTTTATTTCTTTCACAGGCAACTGCAGGATATGCTTTCTCCGGCGGCCGGATTCCATTCTGGCGTGTCACCACGCCTTCTGTGGGACGTGCCTGGTAGAATGGAAGAAGGCCGCCGGAACCTGCCCTATGTGCAGGAAACGCTTCAGAAAGTGGAAGCCGGTAAACTGATTTGCATTGAGGAATTTCGTGTCAGCATTGAGGAATTTCGTGTCAGCATTGACGAATTTCGTGTCAGCATTGAGGAATGTCGTGTGAAGCGATTTTATTCTAGTATTTTAAAGAATTAAGTGTTGTATATATTTTTTCCCACATGTAGCAGTCGTACATTATAAAATGTAATGTAAAATTTTAGTGCACTAATAAATGCTCAAATGTACTTGGCTTGTGAATTGTTGCCCACTGTCATACTATACAACTTGTTGAAAAACATAATTTTCCATACTACTTCAACACTCTAAATATGGAGGGCCTTTTATGTTATCCGTTTTGTGCACATTTCAATTCTAATCTAGCAGGCTACAAATGGATTAGTTCTCCCCATAATCGAATCAAGACTTCGGATCTGGTAACTGATTGCTTTTTTTCCCCTTCGAAAATGTAATGTTTTCATTAAGTATGATCCTATCTAGGCTCTGTTGCTGAAACGGCTTCGGAGACGGAGATATAAATTCCTCAAATTTTGAGGCCAAAATTGTGCCGTGGGACTTTAATTCTTAGTGTACTGCCCGACCGGGGACGTTAACTCTACAGAAATGGTCCACGGCATCACGGAGGGTTTGCTAACACTGTACGTCCGTAAGGCTAACCCGTCTAGCGCTTGCGCAGTGCGACGAGTTTGTGCGGATGGCACCCGGGGGTAGGACAGCCGGTTCGACAAAAGCCCTCCCTGTGCGACGTTCGATCACACACACTGAAACCGAATCGGCTCCTTCATGTTCTGTAGTTAGGCCCGTTGGTGACTGCCGGGGTGGGAGTAGGACTGGGACAGGGGCTCAGCGCCCTCAGATGACGGCGCCGGCCGGCCGCCCGGTGACGTCTGCCCGTCCTCCTTCATGTTCTCCAACCTGCAGTTGGTGACGTCCTGCCCCTACCCCCGTTATATCCTCAGACACCCAGCCCAGTTCAGCCCGATTGGGCCGACAAATGTCATCCCGTTGCGCGCGGTGTCCTTTGTTGAGGAAGGAGCGCGCACGAGCGCAGCTGCGTCACGCCAGGCTTTGCGCGAACGCGAAGCGGTGTCTGCGCGCGGGACCTCGCCATCGAACTCCGCAAAGGTCAGCAACCAATGAGGCTCCTTGCGACGTAACGCCGCACAGGTAGACCACCCATGATGCTCCTGTCGATCGGCTGCCTACCTCCTAGGTGCTCCTTCGCCAGCCAATAAAGCATTCCGATGCAGAAGAATAGGCGGAAGAAGAAAACGGAAGTAACCATGTTGAAGCATACCGGAATGCTTTATTGCGTGTGCGCCCGCCCGCGCGTGTCTGTGTGTCGGGCTGTAATAACTTAAGCGAGTGCTGTCGGACTGGACCGTCGTCGCGGTGCTGCAGGGGCGCGACTCATGCTAGTATGTGTGTGTGTGCGTGCGTGCGTGCCCGCGCGCTCTGCCGACTGATGCCGGGACATTCGGTTTGCGGGCGCCTGCACGCTGCACGTGCTGGCTGCACGAGACGTGTTCACGCCCCGCTGTTGCTCCACCTGTTGCCTCTCGTTCAGTAGCCCGTCGAACAGACGGGGTACCCGTGGCACCCGAGACAAAAAAGGTCTCAGCCTCCAAAGTCGGCCGAGATCACGGCGGAGATAAGCTTTCGGCCAACTTTGAGCCCTGAGACCTTTTTTTCTGTGCTCAAATCTCGACTCCCGGCATGTTGGCAGCATTCTAAGGTCGCCCAAGAACACTTTAGGACCTACGGAGTACCCGTAGTACCCGAGACAAAAAAGGTCTCAGCCTCCAAAGTCGGCCGAGATCACGGTAGAGATAAGCGTTTGGCCGACATTGAGACCTGAGACCTTTTTTTCTGGACGCAAATCTCGACTCCCGGTATGTTGGCAGCATTCTAAGGTCGCCCAAGAACACATGAGGGCCTACGGAGTACCCGTGGCACCCGAGACAAAAAAGGTCTCAGCCTCCAAAGTCGGCCGAGATCACGG